TTCGAAAAGTTTCTGGGGTTCTACTGAACCTATGTCACATGTTAATTCCATCCTGGAGTTTTATCCTTTTTATCCCGTATATCTTGATATCTCCACGGGGAAAGGGTGACTGATAGGGGGAGGCAATCTTAAGAATCGAATTGATTTATTATTTTTTATACAATTGCTTGCAGGTTGTGAGGTTCTTGATTGGGCGATCACAAGAACTGTCACTGCCATGGTCGCCAAGATGTCATCCCCATGGATCTCGGCGTCCGTGCTCGTTCTGCTGCTGAGCCTGCACCCGGGTGTCCATGCCTTCTACCTCCCCGGCACCTTCATGCACACCTACTCCTCTGGAGAGGCGATCTCGGCCAAGGTCAACTCGCTCACCTCCATCGAGACCGAGCTGCCCTTCAGCTACTACAGCCTGCCGTACTGCAAGCCTCAGGATGGTGTCAAGAAGAGCGCTGAGAACCTTGGTGAGATCCTCATGGGTGACCAGATCGACAACTCCCCATACCTCTTCCAAGTTAATGTCAATGAGTCGGTATACCTTTGCACCACGGACCCGCTCACCAAGGAGCAGGCTGAGCTGCTCAAGAAGAGGGCGCGAGATCTGTATCAGGTCAACATGATCCTGGATAATTTACCGGTCATGCGGTTCACTGAGCAGAATGGGGTGACGATCCAGTGGACTGGGTTTCCAGTTGGGTACAACCCGACAGGGAGCAATGAGGATTATATCATTAACCACCTCAAGTTCAGAGTCTTGGTCCATCAGTACCAGGCGCAGGGTGATGTGGTGATCACGAGTGAGGATGGTGTTGCAATGGTTGAGTCTGATCGCAAGAGTGGGTTCCAGATTGTTGGGTTTGAGGTCGTGCCTTGCAGTGTAAGGCGTGATCCTGAGGCCATGTCCAAGCTCAAGATGTATGACAAGGCTGACTCTGTGAATTGCCCGTTGGAGCTTGAGAAATCTCAGGTGATCCGTGAGAATGAGCGGATTACATTTACCTACGAGGTTGAGTATGTCAAGAGCAACATCAAGTGGCCATCGAGGTGGGATGTGTATCTGAAGATGGATGGTGCCAAGGTTCACTGGTTCTCTATCATGAACTCGATGATGGTTGTCTTCTTCCTGGCTGGTATTGTGTTTGTCATATTCTTGAGGACTGTCCGTAGGGATCTGACAAGGTATGAGGAGATGGACAAGGAAGCACAAGCTCAGATGAATGAGGAGCTCTCAGGATGGAAACTTGTCGTTGGTGATGTCTTCAGAGAGCCCAGCTGTCCAAAGTTGTTGTGCGTTATGGTTGCTGATGGTATCCAGATCACTGGTATGGCAGTTGTTACAATTGTGTTTGCTGCTCTGGGATTCCTGTCACCTGCTTCCAGGGGAATGCTCCTGACCGGAATGATCATTCTCTACCTCTTCCTTGGTATCATTGCTGGATATGTTGGTGTCCGTGTTTGGAGGACTATCAAAGGAACCTCAGAAGGGTGGAAATCTGTTGCTTGGTTGACTGCCTGCTTCTTCCCTGGGATTGTGTTCATCATCCTCACTGTGCTTAATTCCATTCTGTGGGGCAAGAAGAGCACTGGAGCTCTACCCATCTCACTGTTCTTCACCCTTCTGGCCCTGTGGTTCTGCATCTCTGTGCCACTCACACTTATTGGAGGCTTGCTAGGCACACGTGCTGCAAGCATCGACTACCCTGTCCGAACCAACCAGATTCCACGAGAGATCCCTGAGCGCAAGTTCCCCTCATGGCTGCTTGTGCTTGGTGCGGGAACATTGCCTTTTGGTACTCTCTTCATTGAGCTCTTCTTCATCCTTTCCAGCATTTGGTTGGGAAGATTCTACTATGTCTTTGGCTTCCTGTTCATTGTCCTCTTCCTGCTGGTCATAGTCTGTGGTGAGGTTTCTCTGGTCCTGACCTACATGCACCTTTGCGTGGAGGACTGGAAATGGTGGTGGAAGGCCTTCTTTGCTTCCGGCTCTGTCGCATTCTATGTCTTCCTCTACTCTATTAACTACCTGGTGTTCGATCTCAGGAGCCTGAGCGGACCAGTTTCTGCAACACTCTACCTTGGCTATTCCCTGATCATGGCCCTTGCAATCATGCTCTCCACTGGTGCCATTGGTTTCCTGCTCTCCTTCTACTTCGTCCACTACCTCTTCTCGTCTGTTAAGATTGATTAGAGGTGCCCGCTGCCTCTTTTTGCAATAGAGTCCTTTGATCGTGGTAAGAGTTACCCCCTTAGAAATACTACACAATAAATCAAATGAAAAAATGGATACATGGCAACGGCCATGGCTTTTGGTCATGATTAATTCAATCATTTAGCATAGCACAGTTACTCAAGTTGAAACTTATTTCTTAGGAATGATTGTAAGTTCTTCAGCTATGTTTATTACCATTTGTAATGCTATTCAGTTTTGCTTGCTCTGGGCATTTGTGAGCAGCCTTTGGTGTTGGAACACTTGAGATCTATTCAATATGAAAAGGAGCTATTCATTTACAGTTTGTTACGATTCTGGGAAGGCTTTACTGTAACATGGTTGCCACATGAGTTGTGAATTGTGATGCTTGCTGTTCGTTAATAGTAACACCAGTACTACTGATTTTTTTTATCAAGTGAAGTTCTGCTGACTACTGAGTCAATTGATAGTTGATATACATGCTACTGAAATAGTGAAATTTCACATGACTCTGATGCTAAATGTTGGATTGTGGAGTTGTTGGTAGCTGCTACAGTTCTGATGCTTGTGACGAATTGACTCTATTCTTTGCCCCAGTGCTAAGTGGATGATATATCAACAGAGGCAAAGTAACTTTGATATGTACTAGTCACTTTGTTGTTTATGAAACATCATAAGTAACTTTGATATGTACTAGTCACTTTGTTGTTTATGAAACATCATAACACATTTGAGCTGCCGAAGAATGGTTAGAAGCTGATATGATTGTCCACGTGAACATGATTTAACTTGACCCCGATTCAGCCACGATACGTCCGGCAACGCGCAGGCTGAGCCCAGCCCAGCAGCAAATGTGATTTCGCTACAAGACGTGAAATTTCGCCTATGTAAGGCAGACGAGGACTCAACTTGTACGCTACATCGATTCAAAGTTAGGCAAGCTCGCAAGTACAGAATCTGGTTGTTGAGACAAATAGCGGCCAAACCTTTTTTGTGATTCAGAGACTTGTACATTCTCGGAAAAAGTCCTCCAGTGCTCCTTTAACTATTATTTCCTCAAGAGCTCGTTTAACCATTACTATTATGGTCCGATTTACTTAAACTAGAAAACCGAATCTTTGAACTCCTCGAAGCTAAAAAACCGATTGTTTTTCAAAGTGGTTTAGTTTGACGTGGGGTCACGTCAGTCATTCTACGTGGTGCCATATATATTTATTTTCTCTAAGGGAGGTTATGCGGCGCGCGGACGGCCACAGGGCACCCGTGTGTGAGGAGGAGGATCATAGGATGAGTCGTCGTGTGTCGAAGCCCGCAGCGGACGAATAGGTGTGGTGGTGTGCTATAGCCACCGCCATCCATGGCGTATTCCACCCGCCGACTCGACTCCGAGGGCGGCGGAGAAGCACCACGGCGTTGCGTTGTCTGGGTTAAATTTGTAATTCATTATGGAGCCGAGATGCGATTTCATAGTTTGGGGACCCGGACGAAATCAGTTCAATACTTTAAGGACCGTCCGTGCAATTTACTCTATTTATTTTCTCTAAGGGAGGTTAGCGTACGTGTGTTCATAAGGTGAGTGTGCGTACGTATTGTGGGCGTCGACGTTGTACTTTGTAATTCTAAAAAAAAGAGTATATTAATAAAAGGTAGCACAATTACATCCATGTTCACGAGCGCCTTCATACAGAAAAATACGCTAGATCGAGTATATCCAGAGCCCTCTAATATCAATCTTCACCTCTAAATCTTGTTGGCGACTATCTAATTCCAACCCGTTGGAACCTAATAAGACCAACGTTGGCCAAAGCAGCACAACCTTCTAATCATCCTTAACGACAGACACCAAAATTGGAAACGTAGCATGATCAACCGCCAACGCCACGGGAACTTCTTAGGACGCATCCACGTAACATCGCCGCCTCGTCGTCAAAGATGATCAAGGGACAATCAATCTAGCGCCGCTAATACTAGCAATGCTAGATTGGAAACCCGAATACAAGCCTGGTCGTCGCTTGATCATAATGCAGCAATCCGGTAACCCATAGATGCAAACAAAAACTCGATTATCCCCCTAATTGAGCCCCTACAAAAATTGAAGAAACATAAAGACCACCGGATTGGATGCCTAGAGCAGCACCCACACGAGAGATCTCTTCGATAAATAAGATTCGGCGAGCAATCGATGAAGACGTTGCAAAAACAGAAGAAACATGAAGACCACCGGATTGAGAGCGCGTTTGATTTGTGCTCTCAACTCACCACAAGTGAAGTGCGGCTCACCCAAGGTGCGGCAGCAAAATTGCTCGCCACACATTTGGCGTAAGAAGCCGTAGAAGACTCAAGCGGAAATTGCGACGAGCCAAACATGCGGCCGCGAATCAAACGCTCACGAAAATAGGGCGCGGAAGGTGCAAGATGCGGCTGCCAACCCAACAGACCCTGAATGCCTAGAGCGACACCCGCACGAAAGATCCCGTCGTTAAAAGATTTGGCGAGCAATCGACGCCGGCCCACTCCGGCAGTCCGCCTATGGCGCGAAGCGCCGCAGCCCGGCTGCTCGCTTTCTCCCCTCTCCTTCTCGGTTCCAGCCACTGCCACTTGCGCCTTCGCCACCATCCCCTCCTCCTACTCCCTACATCCCGTTCTAAGATCACCTCCCGCAAGCCTCCCCGCTCACAGCCTCGTAGAAAGCTGGCGCCTGCACCCGCCGGCAGCGGTCTCCCAGGGCCACCAGGGGCGCGGGCCTCTCTTTTCCAGGAAATCTCCGAACTCGTTGCTTCAGTGGCCAATGTCGAAGCGTTAGGACCCCGAAGGAATGGCGGCGCGCCTTGTGATGACCTCGGAGCTGCTGCTGTGGGGTGCACCGACGGTGCTCGAGGAATTGCTTCAGAGAGAGCGGCATTGGCTTCTACCTCCATTGCTGGCAGCATTTCGGACCGGGTCGTTCTTGGTGACTCTGCAGATGATGAGAGTCGTCAATCTTGTGGGATGTGGCACTATCACAAATGCTGCAGAGGCATTCTGCCAGGAGGCTGGAAACACTGGCATGGCAGTAGATTCTGATGTTGACAATATCAGTGCAATGGTGCACAGGATTACAGCAGTCCTCCGGTCAGAGGCACCTGGGCCGTCGGTGGAGCGGAAGCTTGAGGGACTGGGTGCTAATTACACTCCGAACCTTGTTAACATGGTGCTGAAGAGGTGCTTCAAGGTCAGGCAACTGGGATTCTGGTTCTTCCACTGGGCAAAGCGACTCCCGGATTTCCACCACACTACAGAGACGTACAACACAATGCTGTACATCGTGGGCGAAGCGAGGAGCTTTGGTATCATGGAGGAGCTTGTGGGCGAGATGGATCAGGAGATGTGCCCCAAGGACATCAAGACATGGACGATTTTATTATCCAGTTATGGGAAGGTGAGGCAGATCGGCAAGATGCTGTCAACCTTTGAGGCGATGAGGAAATCGGAATCCATCTTGATAGACAGTAAAGTCTATAGGACAGTTCTTCACGCTTTGTGCAATGCTAATAAGCCTGAGCTTGCTCTTGAGTTCTACAAGGATATGCCCAGCAACGTGGAGGTCGGGACTGACATTCTTCGACTACTAATGTGTTGTCTTGCAACATCAGATAATACTGCTGAAGGTGCCTATCTTATCAGAGATGATATGATTGAGGGCATGAAACATCCAGAGGAGTACTGCTACACGGAGGCTCTTCGAAGCTTTTGCATAGCAGGAAAGCTTGGTGATGCATGGAAAGTCTTTCAGAAGATGAATAACAAATCGATGGCTAACTCATATGCACTTGAGAATCTCCTGAGAGGGCTCTGCAGAGCAGGGAGAATGGATGAAGCTTTGCAGGTCACAGAATACATGAAGAGGATATCAGATCTAAATAGTACAACGTTTTCGTTCCTCATCAATGGCTACCTTAGGAAAGGGGAGCATATCAAGGCAGTTGACTTGCTACGGGAGATGAGAGAATTTGGATGTGTTCCACTGGCATCATCTTATACCCAGGTCATGCAACACCTATTTGCAATCGATCAGTGTGAAGAAGCATGTGGACTGTTTGAAGAGATGCTAAAGAACAGTGTTGAACCAGATATTGTTACGTTCACAGCACTGATTTGTGGGCATGTTCGCAGCGGACATATATCCAAAGCATGGGATGTCTTCAGGAATATCAATAAGAATGGTCAGAAACCCACATTGAAAGCATATACAGTGTTCATGCGAGAGCTCTGCAAAGTGTCCAGGCACCTTGAGGCCGTAGCACTTCTGAAGGAAATGCTGGAATATGATTTCAGGCCTTCTGAGACAACTTTCTGCTGGTTAATTTCTTCTTTACGCGACAAATCCTATTTGGAAGAGGCAAGTTATGTTGAGAGAATGCGGGCATCTTTTAATTTGCGAAACCCTAGAGATGGTTTGCAATTTGAACAGTTAGATGGCATTGACGATGTTGATAAGTTTTGAAAAATGCGCAAGTCTAATCCCCAAGAGAAAGAACTGGCATTGGAGTTCACTGGCTTTGCTTCAGATCAAAATGGTAAGGTCTCCGGTTTCATGCTTTCTGATGACACACATCAGAAAGAACAACAGGACTACAGTGATGGAGACGTCGAAGAAATATGTCGGATTCTGTCTTCTTCTGTTGATTGGGGCTCAACGCAACAGGTACTGGAGATGAGATCAGTCCATTTTAGTCCTAATCTTGTTGATGCCATTTTGAAGCATTGTAAAAGGAATAGCTGTGCTGCTTTGCAATTTTTCTCATGGGTTGGGAGACGACCTTACTACATCCCTATTACAAAAGCATACAATACTGCTATGAAACTTGCGGGTTCTGCAAAAGATTTTAAGCACATGTGGTATCTGTACAAAGAAATGTTAAGGACCGGATGTTCCCCAACCGTGGATACATGGAATGTCATGGTCTGTCAGAATGGCAATGCTGGTCTGTCTGAAAAGGCCTTGAAGACATTCTGTGACATGAAGAAGTGTGGGTTTCTGCCTGATAAAACTACTTACAATCACCTGATAATGTACCTCACCCACAGCAAAGGGCGGAAAATAGATGTGGCAATCACAATCTTCCAAGAAATGTGTCATGCAGGCCATATACCTGATAATAGGATACTTTTCATGTATCTTTTGGCTCTATGCGAGTGTAGGAAAATAGCAGATGCAACAAGCTCCGTAGTATCCTTATGTGAACAAGGATTTTCTGTGCAGGCTGGCTACTCTATATTCCTTAGATCATTGTGCAGGGCTGATAGAATGGAGGAAGCTCTCCATTTGTTCGATTGTATTGAGGAACATGGTTGCTCCAGGGATCAGTACATGTACGGGAGTCTCATCCATGTTTTGCTAAGGAGGGACAAATTTGAAGATGCTGTTGCCAAGCTTACAGAAATGAAGAACGAAGGGATACTTCAAAGCGCACAGATATATACCTCCTTCATTGTTTATTACTTTCAGAAGAGAGATGTTGTCAAGGCATTGGATGTGCTCAGGGAGATGAAAGAGAATGGATGTGAGCCTACAGTTGTCACATACTCTGCTTTGATCCGTGGCTACATGGCCATGGGTATGGTTTTAGAGGCTTGGGATGTTTTCCAACAAATGAAGCTGAAAGGACCTGCACCAGACTTTGAAACCTACTCCATGTTCATGTCATGCCTATGCAAAGCAGGTAGATCAGAGGATGGGTTGCATCTTATCCATGACATGTCAGATTGTGGTTTCATTCCCAGCACAGTAAACTTCATGACTTTTGTCCATGGTCTAAATGTGGAGGGCAAACATGAGCTTGCTGAGTCTGTTCTACGGTCAAAATGGCACTTGCGGAAGCAAAGAACCATCTCATATTAGTTTTTGCTTCTCTCATGCTCTCAAAATGTTTGTTGGTGTTTACAACTTGGACGGCAAGATTCAATGTTCATTGTATTTTCTTGGAACAAGCATATGGTGGGAGCCAATCATGGACACTTTTGCTACAAAACCCCCTCTTCATTTTGTCAATGGTGGGCAGAAATCTGACACATCAGCATGGTAAACTAGGACCAGAGATGGAGAAAGGTACAGTAAAAATCGCTGTGAGGATTGACTCGACGTGGCGTGCCTTACTTCTTAGTTAGAGACAGGCGAATCCCAGTGAGTTTACTCAGGACAAAGGTATCACGAGTTGCTCTGAGCCCAATCAAGGGACCAAAACGCCAGAAGCAACACACCCCAGTATTCTGCTGCTTCTACATTGAACATTTTATTGGTATTATCTAGGTGCATGAACAAAAAATCAATGCTTGTTTGAAAATATCAAACTTTAGATCTTTTAGTGATTCCAAACCACAAAAATTAATGCCCCCTGTGCCAACTGAAATTTTACTATAATCTTGCAAGATTTTGAATTCTGATTAGATCCAGTTGATTCTGTTCTGGTGTCCATTTCATTCTATCGCATTTTAGGATTGGTGTTCGTGTTCTTATGATACGATCATAAATCATCTTGAAATTCTGTGAATTGATAGTTGGGCAGTCTCAATTTAGGTAGGCTGCCATGATAGTGATTGGTTTGGTTACCCTGTTGAACTGACAATGTAACCAGAAGAAAAAGAAGAAACGAACTATCCATCAATTTGTTAGAAATTGTTAGTGATGATTGTAGCCACTGTAACTGGAACTGAATGATTGTTAGAACTTGTTAGTTCAATCATCTAATTGCCTCTAGGTGTACAGTAAAAATCCTTGGTTACAGTTGCGCTTGAGTCATTCATATTTTAATGTGTCTATGCTACTACTTTTTTCAGTGATAAGTGCAATTAATTTATGAAAACTGGGCATCTCTTATTTTGAAGGGCAGGCCTGAGAGCTGTCTCACTGAGTCACCAGGTTACGGGTTCAAAGCAGCCTCTCCGCAGATTTTGCGAGGGGAAGGCTTGCCTCGGTTTTTCCCTTCCCTAGACCCCACTCATGTGGGAGCCTCCGGCACTGGGTCTGCCCTTTTTTTATGTTAGAATTTAGAAACAAGCAATGTCATTTAATACTTACTAATTGGGGATGGATCATGTAACTTCTTAAGCCTTTGGTCAAACAAACTACATAAAGGAAAGCTATATTTGTTGTTGGCTCAGATAGTCCGATTGAGATTTCCTATGGATTGACCAAATAGGAATAAAGATAGCAGTAAACCTACTCTCCCATCATATGTAGCAGTTTATCCACGTCTTGAGTTCTATCTCGAGCAGCCAGATACACTATGCATTGGGTTGAGAATAAGAACTAGTTTTTTATGTTCTTGCTTTTAAATATTTATAAGCTTCATTTAAACCTGACCTAATTTTATGTCGCATGCAGATACTGTTAGATGTTTAGCCTCAATGCCAGGTCTAGGAATTTTCCGCCTCAAACGAGAGAGGTAAGCGAAAAAGAATACTGAAAACCCATATAGGCTCCTTGTTCACTTATGCTCACCTTTTGCATCAGAATGTTTCCTTGGGTTTGCTGAAAATGTTTTTGACCCAAGGAATCAGTCCTTTGCCCTTTGCCCTTCATCTTTCAGTTTGCTGCATCATCAATGTAGTCACTCTGTTTCTTCACTCGTTGCTATTTGTTCACACGTGATATTTTTGTTTGTCGCAGCACTATCAAGTTATGGGCATTGACGGGTTAGCCCCTGCTGGACATGATTGGGCATTCTTCCCTTGTATATTCTGTGGATGCACATTCTTCAGGTCTAATTGCTAGTGGCAGTGAGGATTGCTCTTTGAAGATAGGGAAAGGTGATATATTTTGTATTTCTAAATACATTGGCTTTTCTCATGTTGAACTTGTACCTATATTCTCTGAGCAACTCGTGAAATCTGACTAAATTAGGGTACGCCCCATTTCTACAAACTGTCTTATCTAAAGAAATGTAAAGTTGTCGCTAACTAAATGTGTAAACACTTCCTCTCTCTGCTTCTGTCCAGTTTCAGTATGCTGAAAATGAAACTGGTATACTTCGCTGCTGAACTTGTGCAGTAGAGAAGGAAAACTTTCATCAGTAAAAACCTAACGTTTGTAGTACAGGATGTTCTTGCTGTACCCCATTCTCTGATTTTTCGAGTAAAACAATGCAGATGATGTCTGCGTTCAAAGCATTGAACACCGGGGATGGTGATCTACACATGCTGGAATCTTTGGAAGGAAAGAAACCGAAGAATTTTCAATAACATACAAGAATCGCCGTTTCAGGTGGCTTCAAGAATTAAAGAAGACATTGAGCAAAGAGGGCATTTCAAGGGGCATTCCAAGGAGGGGGCTAGCAAGCCGGCCATTCTGGTTGTATACGTGCTTGGGGGGATTTTTTGACCCCTGTTTGTTTGCGCAGCTTCTCGGGCTGTGACTATACATAAACCTTCTATATTCGCTCCTACCTTTTGTTTCAAAAAGAATACATCTGCTGACTGTTACTCACTAGCCCCCAAGATTGTAGCATAGCACCAAATCTGCAAAGCCTGAGCTGATGACCTGACGGACCAACGTTAGGCTGTGAATCCGTTGTACCAGCTAATGAATCAAGAAGCGATGCTTAGATGTTAACTGCAAAGCCGGAATTGACTTGTTAAGGGGATCATGCAATTGCATTGGTGGAATTGCTTGCTACAAACTCGCTGATCTTGTATTATCCTGCTACCTTGCTTCAGTTTTACTTTGAAGTACATTGTGTTATATTCTGGCGTAGCTGAAGCCATGTGAAGTTCAGTCTTCTAGCCATTAATTAGAATGAGTACATTGTGTTATAATTAGAATGTGAAGTTCATCAAATTGTAAATGCTGAGTTCAGTTGGTTATGAGTTTTATGCTTAGTATTTTTTTCACTTTTCAACTGGCAAGGTCTCACTGATCTCTGATGTGCCATCTTGACTCTGCAGCTGTTGGGTTCTGGCAGAGCTACTACGAGTGATCTTTCTGATGTGCAGTTTACACAAAGGACAAGAAACAAGAATTAAAAAAAAAGAACATTGCATTGCCGAGAAGTTAAAAAGAAACATATAATATAATTAATAAAACTTCCATTGCCGGGATTTGAACCCGGGTCGCCTGGGTGAAAGCCAGGTATCCTAACCGGACTAGACGACAATGGATTTGTTGAATGGGCAGTACAACACATCTAATTTATTTCAATGTATATCGTTTCATTAGTGTTGGGCACATGCTTCTGCCTATCAGCAGCTCCCAACATCACCGGTACCGGTAGGGTCCTCTGGCTAAAGTTGGCATCGCTCGGCGGGGCTCCGGTATATCATTTTCATTTCAACGAACAATTTTTTCTTTTGAGAGAAAAAAAAATGTAAGGTAAAATAGGAGGAGAAAATACGTCGCCTTTCCTTTGTGTGCTTCGGTCCGGCAACGGCGGGAGGAGTTGATACATTTATTGTACGGTGGAGTCAGCGTTTGCTTAAGAATAAATTAATAAGAGGTATATGCATCGTAGGCCTCGGGCAAGCGTGAGGCGGCGTCTGCGGGCGAGCACACAGCAGCGAGGCCGGGTGGCCGTGGGCGAGCGCGCAACGACGGCGAGTGCGCGGCAAGCGGTGAGCGGGGCTGCCGGTTGGAGCAGGGGAAGTGGCGTTGTCTCCCGCGCGTCGGCGCTAGAGGATGCGCCAGTGGTGTCCATCGGCGAGGGGCCAGAGGAGTTTCGAGCTGGTGGAGGACGACGAGCAAGGCCAGCAACGTGCTGCTGGACGCGTCCTTCCGCGCGCGGCTGGGCGACTTCGGACTGGCGCGAGTGCTCGACGACGACCGCGAGGCCTTCACCGACCTGCACGTCGCCGGCACGTGCGGCTTCATCGCGCCCGAGTACTCCGTCGGCCACAAGGCGTCGCGGGAGACGGACGTGTTCGCGTTCGGTGCGCTCGTGCTGGAGGTGGTCACGGGGCAGCTTGCGCTCCGCGCCGGCGACCCTCGGTGCCCGCTGCTGTCGGACTGGGTGTGGCAGATGCACGGCCGCGGCGCGCTGCTCGGCGCCGTGGACCAGAGCCTCGGTGCCGACGAGTTCGACCACGACGAGGCCGGACGCCTGCTGCTGCTCGCGCTGGTGCTGCAGGTCCTGACCTAGGCCACGCCGCCGCCCGAGGTGCCACTGTTCAAGCCCCGGTTCGCGTGGCCACCCAAACCAGGCTCACGTGCGCTCTGTCCCCGCTACGTCGGCAAAAACCTTGATCCGATGAGTTTATGGATCAAAATGACATACTTAAACAATATTAGGGTGCCAGAAGTACGCTTAGAGAGTTTATGGACCTAAGTGGCATCACGAGACAAGTTTAAGGGCCTACCATGCATATACCTCAATTAATAAATTCACTCTTTCTTATAAGAAAAATCTTACACTCTTTTGCCTTCCAGTAGTGCACTCGTATAGAAAAATCTTACACTCCTTTGCTTAAAAAGCAAGAAAAAATAACTTCCCATCACTTCCTTGTCATTATGCGTTTACTTATTTCATTTTTAGCCAAAAATAATTCCTGTATTTTAAATTGAAACTTATAAAGGACTTCCCCATCTCCATTGGTTTTTAGCTCAAAATGGCTTCTTTCGCTAGAAATGATTCTGGTACTAATCAAGCACATCCATATTCCATATTGTATAAACGGAAGGTAGACGCTGCCATACTAGACTTCCCTTACGCTCAAAATTGCATCTGGTGAGAAGCACGGTCGCCCACTCGCTTCCTTCCCTCTTCTTCTTGGCTCTAACCTCCACCGCTTGCGCATCCCTTCCTCCTCCCTATCTCTTCTTGGCTCTAGCCACCCTCCCTTCCTCCTCCCTATCTCACGCAAGCCTCATTGCCTACAACCTTGTATAGAGCAACCCCTCTAGTTTTTTCAAAAAAGAAACAACCTTGTAGAGAGGTGGCGTATGCACCCGGTGACAGCGGTCACCGGGAGCCATTAGGGGTGCGCTCCTCTATTTTGTATAGACCAGGTTAACATTTGAGGTTGTCAATTCTAATTTTGAATTTCAAAATATAAGAATTTAAAATAAATTTCTAGGACTATAAATAAATTCAAATAAAAAACTTATCAACTATAAAGTTGCATATATTATTGAGCTCTATAATCTTGATATAAAGCTCATCTTCATCTAACTTCATATGCAAAATTTATGTTTTTTTAGACAACTATGCATAGAGGTGATCTTCCTAGGAGGCTCATCTCTAAAAATCCATTTATAGAGACAGTTGATTTGGTAATATCTCCGTAAATAGATTGCCCGTCTCTAAAATTCACTAGGTATTTTAGAGACATATATTTTTTAACCGTATATGTAAATAGAAGGAGTTGTCTGTTAAAATCGTTCTTATATTAGTGCACAGCATGGCTGGGATGACCCGACGAAAATGGAGTACTTTTTTTTCCCATGTGCCAACCGGCCGGCGGTCCGTGAGGAGAAAGGTCCGACTGCGATCTGCAGGCGTCACCTTCACCGCTGGACGGGGTGGATGGAAGGTGGACTATGCTAACGAGCAGGGCACACTACTGAAGACCAGGATGGACACAAACTAAAAAAAGGAAACGCGAGCGGTTTTTTGTGAGCGGACGACACACGTACGCAAAAGACAGATGACTGAAATCCTGTTCTCCCAAGTCGCCAAAAAAAAAAAAAATCCTGTTCTCCCAAAAGATGTAGATCGAAGGTACTTACCGCAAAAGACATACGACGAACAATTGAATATTCTCTGTTTTTTTTATCTGCTCGCTTTGCTTATTCTACGTGTACCATTCAAACATTATTACCGCAGTGTAGTTTGTTGATTGTGTTCGGTGGTATTCTTGACTACAAAGGGATTGCTGAAAAATTGCACCTGAGGCATCTGCTTGTTTCTATTATTCTAGTAGCTCGCCTGGCGTGCGTGGTGGTAACTGCTGACGACTCTCGGACATGGACTTCCACCACCGCCCCCACCAGCACCCTTGATGAGGCCCTCCCCTGACGTATGCAGGGTTCAAAATTTCAGCGAAATTTCGGCCGAATTTCACGAAATTCGGTAATTTCGGTGGTGGCCGAAAGAAAACTCCGAAATTTTTTAATACACTAATACATGTGCTATATAACTCTAATCTTATATTTTTCTATTGTTTATATTGCATATTCTTTTATTTAATAGATATGTAATCATAAATCATACTAATATTTGTTTAGATCTAATTTTTTTTAGAAAAACATACTTCATGTGCTAATCTCTAAAAAAATTTCGGCCGAATTTCGCGAAATTCGGTAATTTCGGTGGTGACCGAAATTTTGGCGATACCGAAATTAAAAACCTTGGACGTATGTACCAACCAAACCAACCCGGATTTAACAGGCAGGGAGAACGATGGGCTTTTACATATGTGTGCCTCCAAACGAGCGATGGTTTCGTAGCAGGAAAGCTTTCTTTATATTCGGGCACATTGTGTTATCGTGTAGCTTTCGCTGCTTAATCCCTCGGACAAGAACATAGCGTGCAGAGAAGAAGCAGATAGGGGAGCTGTAAAGCAGCAAGCTAAGAAGCGGCGATGGGGTCAGGTGGCGGCGACGGCGACCGGCAAGCGCAGCCGCTGCTCGGCAAGCTCTCGGAGTCATCGTACAGCTCGTCCGACGAGCACCTGGTCAACAGAACCGGTGAGTGATCGTCACGCGCCAAGATCATGCCATGCCTGCCCCTCCGTGCATGCTTGTGATGTGGTTCATAGCTCGCTAGCTCATCAGCAGCTTGCCGTTGTTTGTTCTGCATGCACATGCGTGGGCGGCGGCGCGCGCAGGCACGATATGGACGGCGATGGCGCACATCCTCACGGCGGTGATCGGGTCCGGCGTGCTGTCGCTGGCGTGGAGCGTGGCGCAGCTGGGGTGGGTGGGCGGGCCGGCGGCCATGGTGTTCTTCGCCGGCGTCACCGCGGTGCAGTCCACCCTGATCGCCGACTGCTACATTTCCCACGACCCGGAGCGAGGCGTCGTCAGGAACCGCTCCTACGTCGACGCCGTGCGCCTCTACCTAGGTACGTACGGTCAGCCATCGATCGTCGATTTGCCCTTTTTTCTCGACGGAATCTTTGACGAGATGATCATCGATCGATCGAGTGTATGAATCGATCAACCATTCCAATTAATAGCCTGCACCTTGAGTGCGTGACAGAACCAGTCAGCCAGCCTGTTGCTATTATGCATCCATCCATCCATAAATACGAAAGCGTTTTGCAGAACCATAGGTCGCTATATATGCTAGTCCTTGACTCCCTGTAGGAGTCTATAATAAAAACAAATACTGACTGAAAACTGCGTACTGATTTGCATTAGCATGCATGTTACCGTGAAGCAAGCAAGCGTGGGTCACAAGTTTGAAAATAAAACGGTTAGATATTACTATGTCAGGATCCGTTGCTTTCAGTGTGTGTGTATATTAGGAGTATATTACTAGTTGCAAAGAAAGAAGTTGCTAAAAGAAATTGTGAAGGCGATCGTTGGCTGCCACGTGTGCAGGCGAGACGATTTGTTCTGCGGTTTCTTCCTCAACTTCAGCTTGTTTGGCACCGGTGTGGTGTACACGCTCACTTCCGCCACTAGTATGAGGTACAGTCCGCTACTAGTATACTTGCACATCAACTTCACCTCATTGTTGCTTGCTTGCGTGGCAATCAGCCAGCCACGAGTTTGTTACCTGTCCTGTGGTAGACTGGTGCTAGCAGTTGTCACTTGGTTGGTTGTTGCATTCGCGTAGAACCAAGGGTTAATGACATGATTTGATTGGAAAGAAAGGGCTGTGAAGGCGATAGACAGTGATGCATGTCATGGCCGCTATACTGAACTCTCTAGTATAATCCCATGATCATCACGGCTTGGCTACACTGTTTCACTGCACCGGTAACTAGTGGTGGGCAAATTAAAGTAGTGAAAAGCTAATGATGCAAAACTGGGGGAAAAGGGTTTGTTGGATAGACCGTACCAATAATGCAAAAAGCTAAATGAGGTCACACTCCTGTAAATGTACCTTCCATGTGCGGTGTGTGCATACAACTTCTTGTGGACTTGGAGAATAATTCTTTTCTTTTCTTGTTTCCCTTTTACGTTCTCTGATAACAAGCAAAATATTTCTTTTCTGCTAGACATATCAATTTTGTCCTTTTCGATACACGTCAGCAAATTTTATATGCCATTATGCTTTCCTACTTTTATCAAGGCCAGGCTAACTAGAGAGGATGCAGTCAGATTAGGAGATATACTAGAATACCTTGTGGGCGCACGCATTCCATGGTTAGCTACCACCATGGGCAGTGGATGTGGAAGGGGAGCCCATGAGTCGAGTTCCCCGGAAAGCTCGCCAGTCGCTGCCGCCGCCAGAAGGCACAAAAGCAACGTCCGCATGCAGCAGTCCCGGGTCCCGGCGGCCGGCGCTGCCGTTGCTGCGGTGCTGCCGAAAAGATTAGCTTCGTTAACGAATCCAGACTCCCAGAGCCGCGTGAGCTGATGCAAGCTCCATGGGCCGCCCCGGTATTGGGCCGAGCTTTGCTCAGGCCTACTACGCCCATCCCCGGCTTTGCATTAGTGACGAATACCGTTTTCGGGAGATTTTAGACACCGAATTTTGATCTCTGCCTGCATGCACGGTTCTCGCAAAATAACATCTCGATAAACAAAGTAGAGAAAAGTTTGTCCAATGTCAGGTCCTCAGCGAAACCATGTCTTGGTCTGTTCCGTCCTTTGGCCGGCGTTCATTTTTTTTTCCGAACGCGCACGCGCGCGCTGCAGGGCGATTCAGAAGGCCAACTGCTACCACGACCACGAGGAAGGCCACGACGCGCCGTGCTCCGTGGGAGGGGACGTCTTCTACATGCTCCTCTTCGGCCTCGCGCAGGTGGTGCTGTCGCAGATACCCGGCTTCCACGAGATGGCGGGGCTCTCCGTCTTCGCGGCCGTCATGTCCTTCACCTATGCCCTCGTCGGCGTCGGCGTCGGCCTCGGCGTCGCCAAAGTCATCGGTAATATATATATGCCGCCACGCCACGATCACCACTCATATGCATGCCATGCCAGGCGCCAGCCATTTTTTGAGATTGATCGAGCCTCCTGCGTGATTTATTTGACTGCCTTCACTTCAGCAAACGGGGTGATCATGGGCGGCATCGGAGGCATCCCGCAGGTGTCCACGACGCAGAAGGTGTGGCGAGTGTCCCAGGCCATCGGGGACATCTTGTTCGCCTACCCTTTCTCCTTGGTGCTGCTGGAAATAGAGGTACTACATGCCGGCAGTGCGTCCGATATGCATCGAATGCAGTGCAGAGCTAGCACCACTGTTGTGATCTTGTACTAAATTAATCGACTTATGAGATTAATTATTTATTGCCTGTTGTGTTTTCAAGGACACGCTGAGGTCGCCGCCGCCGGAGACCGAGACGATGAAGAAGGCGACGAGAGCCAGCATCGGTATCACCTCCCTCTTCTACCTCTGCTGCGGATGCTTTGGCTACGCGGCGTTCGGCGACGCCACCCCGGGCAACCTCCTCACCGGCTTCGGCTTCTACGAGCCCTACTGGCTCATCGACCTCGCCAACCTCTGCATCGTTCTCCACCTCCTCGGCGGCTACCAGGCAAGAAGCTAGCTAGGCTTCAGTGTACCACTGCACAGCCGCAAAGGCGCAAATGTCAGAAAACACCACCTTGCAGTGCACACTAGTCCTGCCTTCGACCTGACGCCGCCACGCACATGTCACCCTGCCTGCAGGTGTACACGCAGCCGGTGTTCGCGTTCTTGGACCGCAAGTTCGGCGGCGGGGCCACGGTCGTCGTGGAGGCGCCGCTGCTGGGCACGCGCCGAGTGGACGTGTTCAGGCTGTGCATCCGCACGGCGTACGTGGCGGCGACCACGGCGCTGGCCGTGTGGTTCCCCTACTTCAACCAGGTCATCGGGCTGCTCGGCGCCTTCACCTTCTGGCCGCTCGGCGTCTACTTCCCCGTGGAGATGTACCTCACGAGGAACAAGGTGGCGCCGCGGACCAACCAGTGGCTCGCCATCCATGCGTTCAGCCTCGTCTGCCTGCTCATCAGCGCCTTCGCCTCCGTCGGCTCTGCGGTGGGGGTGTTCGGGTCGGAGACGAGCTGACGATTCAACTCTGCGAATGCAATTGTCGGTCGGACATTTTTCGGATGGGGATCGGACTGCATCCAGCCACATGTTGTGTACATACAGTGCGCTTGTATAATTAGCGTTTAGCTACAATCGCGGGTAGACTTCAAATTCCATTCTCCAGACTACGTACGAAGATCTTGGTGTATAATGATTTTTCTTTTTTTGGGCGAATCATCTTGGTGTATAATAAGTTGGTGAGTTGTAAGGCTTATTAAAAGAGAGCAAGATTGGCAATTGTGTATGGTCTTATTACGTACTCATCCGTTCTGCCCCCACTTGGAACTCAGAAATTCCGTAGAAATTGTACAAGAATTTCACATGAATCCATTTATTTTCACAGGAAAAATATAGGAAACAGAAATTTTTTCCTCCATTCCAAAGGAGGCCTAAAATATTAAATGTTCATATTTAAGTCAAATTCCGATAACTTGCGAGTTTATAGAATGTATCAGCATGCACAATATCAAATATATTCACTACCAAAGATAGTATTTTTTGGTGTATTTAATGAAAACGTGACAGTTTTGGATTTTGGTATATATCTTTGAGTTAAATACACCTTTGGTCCATGAACTTGTCACAGTGTGTCATCTAGGTTCATAAATTCTTAAAACATGTTTTGGATTGCAAGATCTTGCTCTCTTTTTTTCTTGATGAGACTGAAGCAATATGTTCCATACTGCATAATATTATTTTAAGGACCATAGAAGTATTATCGATGAAAGGTGAGAACAAAATCCATAATATTATTTTAGAGACCATAGAAGTATTATCGATGAATGGTAAGAACAAAGTGTCGCAAAATGTCACTTAGCCAGTGCAGCAGCATCTCCAACGACAAAAATGAATCGGTCAGACTCGGCTATGCAAAAGCTCTAGGAAAACAAACAACCCAATAGCTAGTGCAGCGCCAACGTGGCATCAGCACAAAGAGTTCACTAGCTATAATTGGCATCTCTTATAAGACACATGTCCTTTCAATGGGACAGTACAACAACAATCAAGAGACAACGAATACTTACAAGGCATGACAACCAGTTACCAAAGGGGGGAAATGAAAGGCTGTGAGTATAACCGACAGTAACACCAGGATATTCTACAATGACATTTTTAACAGATTCAAGCCATCCAGCAAGTGTCCAAGACCATCAAGTGGACAGCTTGAAAACAACGATGTATCTTCAGGATAGATTTTTAGACAGATCAGGGGAGTTATCGTTAGTCTAGAACCCATTCTAGCTCTAACTCCAACTCACCTGATTCTACGTTCTGCAGCTTTAAGTGCACCTCCTGTTTTACCTTGCCTGCCACAACATTCACTGTGCTATCTTTCATCAGGGCGTTGTCTTTGGTCATAATCCACCTCCCAATTTGCATGTCACCAAGACGTGAAGTATCTCCAAAGGCCATGGCAGCTGTGATCATTGGTTGGAGATCTATCTCTGCTTCACCCATGATATCATCGGCTGAGAACATATCATGGTCATACACTTCCTGGACATGGAGATTATGTGTATTACTTTCATGTCGCTAATGGCCAGCAGCTTTTGTCTTCGCTACTTTCTCAATGCTCTGCCCTTGTCTTGAAGCATTATGTGTAATTATTTTTAAGTGCTTTTTTCGAGTTATTCCATACTACATATTACTCCCTCCGTCCCAAAATAACTGCACACTTGTTCTTCGACAAATTTTTTTAAGTTTGACTAAATCTATACAAAAATATATTAATATTTATGATTTATAATAAGTATGATTACATTAATTTCATAATAAATATATTAGGAGATACAAATGTTGATAATAGTTTCTATAAATTTAGTCAAACTTTAAAAAGTTTGACTTCCAGAAAAGTGAGATGTGTAGTTATTTTGGGACATAGGGGCTAACATGTGACTGAATTCAAGGAAACACCCTAAGAACTTTGCCATGATTCATGACACTTAGCATATTATACTCTTGCTTGAACTAGAGTCCTTTGAATATAAGGAAAACAATTTAAAGGTTCTAATGATAAAACTTACAAGTTTTAGAGGTCGGTAATTTCGAGGAACAGATATCTTAAGCACTTCATTCCATACCGGATTCAAATCACTTTTTTTAACCGTCGATTGAACTTTCTGCAGTTAGGACCAATTGTTGATTTTTTTTGGGAGCAAAACTAGAATGATAAATAAAATGATTTATGTATATAAACATTATATAAATATACCTGCCCTCCGAGTGTTAAAATAACATATGGATCACTTGTTAGCATGTCTCTCACGGCCAAGTTAGTACCTTTCACCACTGTAATATTCAGCTCTCCAATAAATTCTCTTGTATCATCCTGTGATAAATTTGTAAGGGTAAGGTAGATTGACTAGATCACTACAACCATACAAGTTTCAATGAACATGCTCCATCACAGACATGAAATTGCTATGCAGAAATCATGGAAGCCAGGAAATAGAAGAGTGAGTATTAAAAGAAATGTAAGATCTATTTCTCAGCACAACTTACAGAGACATCCTTCCTTGAAGTGCTAGAGAAATTGTTATCTACACTCTTCACAGAAGTGGTAGATTTAAAAGATGATCTCGATGAAATGCGCAAACTTGGCTTCAAAAAATCTTGTGTCTCATACTTAGCTCTGTATATAAAAAAGATAAAGGATTATTATATAGGAAAACATTGGTGACATTACAGAGTACGGAATTGAACAGTTAGCAGACCTTATAAATTTTGTCCTATATTCCATCGTTGAATCTGGTTTGGGTTTTGGGTGATCTTTTGGAAGAAAAGCCTCATAAATTGAATTTGCATATGAGTTTCCACCAACCTCAAGCATGGAGTCAATATCACTATCAGACCAATCATCCAAAGTTACAGACAATACCTGATAGAGAACAGGTGGAAGCATGAAATGAGTAAGGAGTCTAAGGATGAGCTATGACAGACAACAGAACATATGAATACTGAAAAACTGATGAGTTTGAAGGTGCATTCACATATATGTACATTACAATGAAAAGAAATGTAAATAGAAGTTTGTCACGGTTCAAATAACCTTTGAAATGTCAGGTCCAAGTGCCCTATGAACATCTCCACATTTTAAGCAAAGAAACACTCCAATATTAGCAGATCTGAAATGCACAAAAAAACAAATAGCTTTTACAACTTATGTATAAGGAGATGAAAAAATCAAAATAAAGTACTGAGCATATTCAGCATTTGGTTTTTGTAATCAATGGCATGGGTATAGCAGCAAAGCTGTGTGTGTGCACGTGCGCGCTCCATTGCATTCTGTCTTCACATAAAGGAAACCAATGATCCAGTTTATCAACATAAAAAGGAAGAATCTTTCTGTAGAGAAGCCATGCAAGTAGCTATCTTCTGAAATGGTAAACATAATAATAAAAGTTTAATCAGAAACAATGACTTCACTTACGCCCATTTGGGATCAGGTGCACCACAATCAGCACATATCCTATTGTCACTTTTTATCATAAGATCCTTCAATTTTCTTGCTTTGCCTAAAAAAACATGCATGTGAGTATGTGACAGAAAATAAAAGGAACCAAAGAGTCACTTGCTACTATTTGTGGAGTTGAATAATGTAATATTGAAAAATCAAGCTATAGCACAAAACACATTCTTATATCATATTCAAGAATATAGTAAGTTCATGCCAGAAGTTTATTTATTTATTGAATTATGACTATCATTGTATTGTCAGAACAAAAGCATGCCACATGGCATATAGCGTAGTACTGTGTTAGCAAAGAATATCTTATATACCTACAACAGGCTTGGTTGACTTGATGTGTTGATAGCGATTAGCAGTACTCATCTTCGCGGTGCAACTTTGGATAACTCACAAAACCACACAAACTACTTAGACCTGCAGACAACATATGGATTAGCCGGAGTTAAGATCATTTTCTTATCATGATGAAACGAACAGACATGCCAAATAAGAGAACAAAATCTGAAGCTTTTTATTTCATAAGAACATAGCTCCATGATACACAGGAATCACTATACAGCTGCTGGTCCCTCACTACAAATGAGGTTTCACTAGCCCAGTGAATATCAGGCCAAATATAACTTAATAAAGTCTGGTTGTTGAAAAATGAAGCGTACAAAAGAATTAATGCTGGGGCTGGAACATATTTGTGAATCCTGGATATCAAGCTCACAGGGCTGGTCCGTGAAATTTCTTTTCATATCACCTAGACAAAACTGAATCGAAGTCAAAGAACCCATCATCCTAGTAATTATATGTGGTTGGCTCCTCTCACATTGATAAGCTCTGCAATCACAAGATGTACACGACTACAAGGGCAGAACAAGAACCAATAGCCCTCGCTTGCCTTTGCCACCGCAATACCCCAAAGACGGTGATCACCAACTCCAAAGGAATATGCAAATGCCATGTGCTCTGAAGCCTGGCAGAAAGAAATCGGCCTAGATCATGCAGGATTTACAAACTAAAATATATACCATGAACTGGGGGTGATTGGCGTGAAGGGGAGGTGGGATCGTGCCTATGAAAATCCATTGGTATCTGTTTATAGCTGACCAGTATCTCGATTTCATCCAAAGCATGAACCACCCTATATTCCATAGAATAAGAGCTGGGATGTTAATAGGTTATCCCAGCCTTCCGATACAGATCATCCTAGATTCCATTCCAACAGCGTGTACTGATGGTTGTGTTCCGACTCGAAATCGCATGAAATGCCTACATAATTCAAACTCTGCAGTAGGGACCAATCGAGGTCAAGGAGCTGACCGCGTCAGCGCTTGAAAGCGACCGAATCAGAGGATCCGCACGGTAGAAATGTCGGAAGAAAAAAAAGAACAAACAAACCAACGAACCTGAGGCCTGAGGGTTCGACGAGGCGGGATAGGGAGCGGGGTACCGCCGGCGGCTCCCAGGGGGTAAGGTCGCCGGCGGCGCTGGAGCGATCGCCCCCCGGCTTCGTCGCGCTGGGTGGGGTTGGGGGGCGGGCTGGTGGACGCGCAAAACGAGCACGGCGACGTGGGGAGGATTTCTTCTCCTATTTCTGTAGCCAACCTTGGTCACATGGTGGTGGTGGATTCGCTCGCGGTCATAGCTCATGGCGTCGGCGGGGATCTCCTAATACTCCTCCTATTTTAATAACGATTAGTCTCACTAGATAGTAATTAATTAGAGTGTCAAGTAGACAAAATGCTGATGTGCCATAAAAAATAAATAGAAGAGAGAAAACAAAATAATTAGTATACACAACAAACTATCTCTACACATGAGTTAAGAGAGAAAAAATTAGTAGGTTCATGATAGGAGATGGCAGAAGATTGGATACAAAGTTTAAGTTGAAGAACCTGGCTATATTAATTGGTATAAGTATGAAAACTATCTCATGGCTTTACGGCTGAAACTGTCTTAAGACTAGTCTCAGTAAAAGTTTCATAGGAGCTTCATCTGCGTTTAATAGGTTACCACATAGATATTTTTAATGACATGACAATGTTTTTTAAACAGAGAAGAAGTAACGAAACTCTATATGAATCATAAAATTAAATGTCTATGAAATAATACAACAAAACTATGCATTAAGGATGGATGTTTCATCCTCGTTTCATTCCATTTGACAGGATATTGTCAATCTTGGAGACAACGTTATGAAATTCTCCACTGAGAATGGCTAAACAGCTCATTCCTAATTAAACTTTTAAGAATTAAATTTTTGTTACTCTAGTAGACGTGGTGCAACTGATCACTTAGTCATGTCACATGAGGTGATAGGACTTAGGGTGCCACGGTAGCTCCCATGGATCAAACCAACCACATGAAGCTTGTGTGAAAGTCGAGTCATGCCAAAGTGCCTAGCGTGATCTAAGTCGCATCAAATGTGATGGTGTGACTGACTCATCTCTATATAGTTGGGTTGCTCGATCCTTCTTCTTCTCCTTTAACCAGATCTTGGCATCGCCATGACAACCCTTCCTCCATATCGAAGAAGCAAGAAGAAATTCATAAAAGTGTTAGGATTTGGAGTAGTTAGGGTTATGTGGTGCGAAGTTCGGTATGTAGGAGCTTCATTAGATCAGCATATATCGAAGTTAGTGTAAGTATAGTTAATATGTTAGAATTTAAAGGTGCTTAGAGAAAATAAGATTCATCTAGTTGACATATATAGCACATGGAAGAAAAGGAGATGAAGCTGCCTCTCATAGGGGGGCACAAGCTAGCTGGGTGGAGAAACGCCTGTGGAGGATGTGGAGGAGCGACGGCAGCGAACCGGAAAACGCATGCGACGATATGCGAGCAGCATCGACGGTCGGGAGAAGAGAGAGAAAGGACTAGGGAGGAGGTTAGGGTTCAGGTTGGGTGGAGGCCTAGAGGGAGCTCTCCACAAAACTCTAGGGGGTTATGCAAAAAAAAGAGGCAAGTCGCGAATTTCCTCTTCTTTGCATCAAAATAAAATTTACATTAGGGGTTCAAATGAAAATATCTAAACATGAACACTATTCAGGAATAACGAACTGGGTTGTGGGTTAGTTTCGAAACCCTTTTGTGCGAAATAGGCAGCGACGCGTATCGAAGTGTGGAGGAGCCACCAATGCTCTGATTTCTCATGTGGTAGTAGTTTCAAGTGGGTTTTAATAACCCTGATTAAGGGTTTTTTGCAAGCAAAATAGACAGTGACACGTACTCCCTCCGTCCCAAAAAGAACGCAGCTATGGGATTCGTGCCGATCAAATTTGCTAAAGTTTGACTAAGTTTATAGTAATTAGTATTAACATTTATGTCTGAAACAAGATTTATTATGAAAATATATCCCATCATCAATCTATTGATACTTATTTTGTATTATAAAAGTAAGTATCTTTTTGTAAAATTTTGCTCAAAGTTGAAATTGATTGGATTTCTCTGTTGCTAGTAGTTTCAAGTGGATTTTAATAACCCTGATCTTCTCGGATGGCTGACGATGGACACAAGATGGAGATGATTGAGGAGAAATTAACGAGAGTCTGTCTGGTGGTCAGGTCACAAATGTAACCGGAAAGGGCAATGATTGGTGGTAAGTGGTAACTGTGATTAAGATTCACAGTAACTGGAAAAAGCCCAATTTAGTTCATCACCATCACAATTCGCAGAAACCTGCGAACGGAAAAGGTACCCTTACACAGACAGCACACACCCAACATTATTTGACCTTACTGTCTCTGCACAGTAATTTTTCCCTTGGATCGCACTCTTACCGATATCAGCGCGTGTTTAGTTGGACCCTAAATTCCAAAAAGTTGCTATAGTACCTGTCACATCGAATGTTTACGGTCTATGCATAGAGTATTAAATGTACGAAAAAAAAAAACTAATTGCACAGTTTGGTAGAAAATTACGAGACAAACGTTTTGAGTCTAATTAGTCCATATTTAAACATTAATTGCCAAATAAAAACGAACGTGCTACAGTAACCCTAAATTCCAAGTTGCTGGAACTAAACACGCGCTCAGATGCGGATATGCCCCAGCAGCATCTCCGCCGCATCAGCAATCTGTGCAGGCTTCTTGAAAAAAAAAACAATCCGACAGGCCCAGTAGGCCAGTACAGGTAGGCAAGTGACAGCTTACGTGGGGGTGGGGCCCCGATGTCTGAAACACAGAATAATAATAGGAGTTAACTACCAGCCAGAATTTGGTTGGCGTATTGGCATTGGATCCCTGCAGCCTGCCCTGCACTGCGCTGCGTTCCGGCGATGCGGCTTGCAACAGGCCAACAACTACCAAATTGTTGGCGTTGGCGCCTTCCTGGACCCTTTGCACCAATGATTATGTCCGTTTCTTTAACCCGAGCGCGAGACGCCTGCCCTGCCCACTGCCCTGCCCTGCCTCTCGGTCTCCATCTCGCAGTCGCAGGGAACTCCCCACCCCAGGGATGCGTCGACCTCAAACACCGTGAAACTTGCGAAAAAATGGCTTGCAGACTTGCAGTTTTGTCTGCACCATGAGTCTGTAGGTTGCTGCAGCCTGACGGAATGTGAATGCCAAGATGGATTCAGCAGAAGGCCGGCTGGGGAGGTGGACAGATCAGTGGCGTTGCCATCAGAAGAAGATGTTGGCAGGTGGATCCTCCGCCCCGCTTTTCTCGCGGCGCAATCAACACCCTGCGCCTTTCGCTTTTGCCTCGGGGGCCTTTCCCTTTCGTTTCGCCGCGACAGGCTGGCTGATCGGGACGCGCCGCTGGGTCATCGCCATTCATGCATCCCGCTTGGCCCTGCCGTGCCCAGCGATCGATCGCCTCTGACTTGAACCAACCCGCCGGCCTGCGCGCGGCCAATGTAATGCCACTACAGTAATGGGCAGTATCTATCTGCTCATCACCCCTCGCGCCGTTCACCGATGATTTTTCCTATTTCCTTGGCAAATGGCAGGCAGGCTCAGGTGGCATCTTGGTGTCTTGTATTTTTCATATATGATATATCAGACTCAGATGATGGGATTGAGTGTGCTGTGCGCGCTTTGTACTTTTCAGCGCTGTTTTAATCATCATTCAGCTTGGTCGGGAGGCGGTAAACGATCGTGAATTATTTACTGCTGGCTATTTTGGTGTGAGAGAAAAACACTATTCTGACTGGAAATTTACGATCGTTTACGACCAAACGAACAGGCTCGATTATCTCGCAATTGCTCAACGTACTGGAAATCAGGAACGGTTCAGTTTAAATCATGGAAGTCGTCGCTCGTGTATTCTGCAAGACAAGTGTTCCCCTGGCGTGTGGTAGCATTGACAGCCGTGATATAAAATACTTATACAAATGTCTATTTATGGTCTGTATTATCGTTCTTTAATAGGGCCTTGTTTAGATACCCTCAAAATTCCAAGTTTTTTTCTCTCTCTCCATTACATCAATTTTTAGCTGTTTGCATGGAGCATTAAATGTAGGTAAAAAAAATAACTAATTGTACAGTTTAGTTGGAAATCACGAGATGAATCTTTTGAGCTTAGTTGGTCCACGATTGGACAATATTTACCAAATAAGACGAAAGTGCTACTATTTATCGGGTTGAAATTTTTTCAATCTAAACAAGGCCTAGGTTCTATATTATTATATGTGTACTCCATAAACAAGAGCATTACCTACTGCACAGACAACTGTCCTCTGCTAGTATCGCCTCAAGTAATGACAATTATCGCTCTAGTGCTTAATTATTTAGCGAGCTTGCTAATTTACCTAGAACCATCTGCGCAGAAATGTCCAGTAAAAAACAATAGATTGTTCCACATGCATGAGAGCTTAATTACCGCCTTCCTTTTTTTGTGATACTTCTTGGCTTCTTGCCCTTGCATTTGTAAATACTAATTGTAACTTGAACACGCAAGCAACCAGGAGGGGGTAAACTTGGGCGTAGCTTGTTCGTCAGAAGTCATCATCGATGTACTGGCTTATCCTCCCCTAGCTACCACCACATCTTGTGTTCTACACGTTACATTTCATTAGTTAGATATACAACACGTAAGGGACGATAGCAACTCGTCGTGGGAGCTACAACAATGGTGGTGATGTCAATCATTCCTGAATCAGCGGTAGATATTTATTATGGGCGGAGAATACTTAGCCCTCGCTCGTACCCGATTAAGGTCTCATTTGTTAGAGCTCCCTGGCTGCGACTGGTTTCGACTCCGGTTCCTTCATGCACCACCTTACAAATGAGTTTATTTTTATCTCATGTTCCAAAATAAATTAGGAGTATGCTAAGTCACTCTATATTTTGTTTCATCGTCTCCAACTCCTCCATGTACCATAACAAGGAGCTGGAGCCGTTTAGTCATACCAACGGGGCCTAAGCAGAGATAGATTGGATAGATACTGAGAGGATATCTCATATCTTTGATAGCATAGATTAAAAGAGTGAGAATATTTAGTGCTTACACGTAATATACGTATGGAAAACACTACAACCACGACGCCTGACTCAGTTACGAGAGGTGAATCAACAAGTGCTTTCATGGGACCATGCTCGAGCACTCGGACCAGAGGCGGGCTTAGAATTCAAAGAATGCATATTCAAAAATTCAAAAGATAAAAAGTAACTTTTTAAAACTTTTTTACATGTATAATTGACTATACC